TTAATTATCCAGATCAAAGAGTGGGAGGGAGTTGATGGCATAAATCTGTCTTCCACCCAAGCCGGTGTTTTTTTTTTTTTTTTTTTTTTTAATATTTATTTTTTAGTTCTCGGCGGACACAACATCTTTGTTGGTATGTGGTGCTGAGGATCGAACCCGGGCCGCACGCATGCCAGGCGAGCACGCTACTACTTGAGCCACATCCCCAGCCCTCCCATCATTTTTAAAAGAACAAGTCTTAGGCTGCCATGTTCTTCACGGTGTGTCCTGGAGGCATGACGATGACCACCATTCACGTTTCCCTGTCCCTGTGCCCACTGAGGGTTCTAAAGCAAAAACACAAAGCGAAATCCAGAAAGGTGACCTTGAAAGTGGATCAATTGGGGCAGAGAAGAGGAAGAAAAAGAAAAGAAGAAGAAGAAGAAAGAAGACAGAGGTCACTAGATAATCCAGGATGATCTCATTTCAAGATCCTTAGTGTAGCTGACACGGTGGCGCCCACACGGCACCTGGGGAGGCTGAGACAGGAGGATTGCAGGTTCAAAGCCAGCCTTAGCAACATAGTGAGACTCTGTCTCAAAAAAAAAAAAAAAAAAAAAAGACTGGGACGTAGTTCAGTGGTTAAGTGCCCCTGGGTTCAATCCCTGGTACACCCCACCTCCCCACCGCCCCCATACACCCTCGTGCAAAAAAAAAAAAAAAATCCTTAATTTCATTATATCTACAAAGACCCTTTTCCCAAATAAAGTCCTGTTCCCAAGTTCCCAAGTTAGGACACAGACATGTTCTTGGGCTGCTACCAAAACATCATGGAGGACAAAATGATTTCTAGCCTGAGTGTCTTCTTCTGGGAGTTTAAAGTCAAGTAAAATAAAAGTTAACTGATATTTCTAGGRTCCCAGACAAACAGAACAACTTGGCCAAAGTGTCGGTGCTCTGTTCTTGTTCCAGGGCGGCCTGGACCTCAGTCCTGATTATTCCTAGCCATGAACCTCCGAGTAGAGGCCACGGCCTCGGTGACGTCAACGCCCTCAGCGGTGGCATTAGTAACGTGCTTTGACAAGCAAGGAAACTCAGAAGAACCGAGCCGTCTTGCAAAGTCACCACGGCCTGGCCAGCGGTCGGAGTGGGAGCTCGATCCTAGCAAACGGCAGCAGGAACGGCGGCGCTTCAGGGTGGGCAGGAGTCAGTTTAAAGATTTTGCTGCCATGAAGCGGCATTCACCAGCTTCGTTCCCCACTTCCTCTGTCGATATTTTTATTTATGGAAATCAGTACATTACAGAGACTCAGTATAGGCAGCTCCGGAGTCAGACCCAATCTGAACCTAGGCTGAGTCATGTGCCSTGTGACTCTGGATAAGTTTCCTAACCTCTCTGGGCTTTGGTGTCCTCATTTATAAGGAAGTGGGTGGGAATAATACCCACGCTGTGGTGAAATGAACTYGGGGAGTGGGTGTGAAGGGCCCGAGCGGGATCAGGTATCTAACAGAACCTCAGTCCCAGCCACTCCAAGGGCGGTGATGCTCACTCAGAGACACTGAGTGTCTCTGGCTGTCACTCTTAGAAACCTTTAAGCCTTCAACGTCATAAAACTTGGTGACTTGGCCACCACTGGCTTCCTCATCGGCCTTAACTTGAGCTCCCTCTAAAGCAGAGCCAGAGGCAAGGAGCAGGGAGCAGGGAGTCTCCAAGGAGGAGGGATGAGTGACGGGGAGTGAGATGGGAAGAAGGAAAGTCAATCCAGGGGTCATGGGCTCGGGGGCCACAGGGGACAGAGTCGGCCCTTTAAGACCGAGGTCTGGGGTCCAGACTGCCTCCCAGAAACCTGTGTTGGAGGAGGGACAGGGAGAGGGGCTTCGTCCTCGGTTGAGGGTCGGCCAAGAAGGCCTGTGCCGAGAGCTGGTCCACGGCCAGTGTCGGAGCCAGGCAGAGGACAAGACGCCTGTTCTTCTTGGTTGCGATTCTGTGACTGTGCAGGGAACCCAAGCCACGCAGACCTTGCCCACGGCTCCGGCTGGCATTAGGGGTGAGACCGAGAGGGCACCAGGTGGTGCACGAGAGCAGGCCAACATACCTCTGCGCCAGTCCCCCACCACTCTGCTCTCCCCGTGCCCGCCACAGAGTTGAGTCTGCACTGTCTGCCAGTGGGTGCCAGTCACCACCTCCCGGGGACCCCCCACGGGAAGATGGATGGAAGATGGATGGCAGCAGGCCCTGGGTCCTCGGCGATGCTCCTCCCTTCCCTCCCCTCGTCCAGTCTCCCTCCCCCTCACTGCAGATGGTCTAGATGGCTGGGGTGGCCCATCTCCAACCCTATAGGGCCTGAGCGCCTGGCTGCCGGGCCCTCCTGGGGCCATGGTGCTGCCTTTGCCATTTTCTGTTGTGGGAAGCATCAAAAGATGCCCCCTCCCCAGGGAAACCCTGGACCTACTCCTCCCTGCCATGGAAGCCTCGCCAGGGGCCACTTGGAGTCACCCAACAAGGGGTTCTGTCCGCTGGGCTGTTAACTACATCTTCCTCCACGTGCGTTCTCTGCTGGGCACAGACGAGGGACACCACCATCCAGGCTTTCTGCTCACTCCCACGAGCCACCCCCCCACCGTCTTCTCCACACCTCCTGGTCTCTGACCTTCTGATCCCACTCCTCCGGCCATCCCGGGATCAGCCTCCAGAGCATCTGCTGCCGTCCGGGAGTCTCAGTAGGTTCTCACCGCAGACGCTTCTCCCTCCACCCACAGCAGACGGCCCCCGCACTGCTGGGCTTGTGCCTGCTGGAAGAACCTTCCTTCCCTTCTGCCTGCAGGACAGGCTGACTGCGGCCAGCATGGTCCATTTCTGATTCTCACCAGAAAATCAAAGTGACCACGTTAAGCCAGAGCCCAGCTTCCTTTGGCAGGTCATCGGTGAGAGCTAGCTGAGGCCTTAGAGTCACAGAGGCAGGTGGCAGAGGAGTCTGTGCCTCCTGCTCTCGTGCCTTGTTTTCTCCCCTGTGTTGAATGTCCCACTTCCATCATGTGATGGACCATTAGTTGCCCACCTGACAGTCCTCTGTCCTGATGGACATCTCTGGTCACAGTCGCCTGTCGTGGGCTCAGGAACTTGGTCTCTTTGAAGATCTGGTGGCAGGCCAGGAACTGCATTTTGAATGGTGAGTTGTTCTTTGGGGTTGAGGTCACGGCCTTGCTGTCACACCCAGGAGACTCTGCTGGTGTCTCCACCCGACTTACAGACACAAGATCTGCCACATCCAATGGCCTGAGGAGCAGGGCAGCTGGGTTCTGCTCCACACCTGCAGCCTCCCAACTCACGGGTGTGGCCAATGCTGCTGACAAAATTGGACCCAATGGGAGACATCTTGGAGCAGTTCTTCGTTTATCAATGGCTTCCACGCATCCCCACTGAAGCGAGCATTCTGGGTTCCCTGGTATCAAGTCTCAGCTCAGACCGGGTATCTAACAGTTCCTGAAGTCCCCTGGGTGGACTGGTGGACTCCTTTCGCCAGTGTATAATCTCTGTGCTAAAGAGCTATAGGAGCTGAGCGCGGTGGTGCAGGCCTGTAATCCCAGCGACTCAGGAGGCTGAGGCAGGAGGATCGCAAGTTCAAGGCCAGCCTCAGCAACTGAGTGAAACCCTGTCTCTAAGGAAAAAATATAAAAAGGGCTGGGGATGTGACTCAGTAGTTAAGTGTCCCTGGGTTCAATTCCTGGCACCCCTAACCCCACCACCACCACCAAAAAAAAAGGGGTGGGGGGACCTAGGAAGATTTGGGGAGGGATTGAGAGAATATTTATCATTTACACTTGCTGCTTAACAGAGTCTTTTCTCTAGGCAACCTCGTAGCTCATTCCCTGGCGAGTCTGAGAAGTGGTTCAAATCTGGAAGCCGGAAGGAACTCACAATTTTCATTTTCAGTGCCGACACCAGTCTCCCCGCCTTCAGTTGCTTTGGATCTTTAGTTGTTGTTGTATAAATAATCCTGCTATTGGCTGCCTGTGGCGCTCATTTCTAGAAACACCTGGGTCCCTCAGCCTAGGTCTCATTGTGGGTCACAAGCACTTTGGCCTTACCACCCACTGAGGTCATCACAGTGGCCTGGACTCCCACACCGGGTGCCACCACCTACCCTCTGCTGGTCCAGAATCCTGCCATCCCCGTGGGTACCATCCTCATGGTAGCATCTTCTGCCCCCAACTCTGGCTGACAGAGGGCAGCAACCACTTAGGCTTTCCCGAGTTCCCGTGTCCCCACCCCAGAGCATTTGGATTGCTTTGATAAAGGAATGTCCCACAAGTCCACCTGAAGGGCTGGTCCGCTGGTGTGCAATCCATCTCCCTAATGAGCCGATTCCATGTGCCTCTGACTCCCTCAGTATCTTGCTCAGGCCCTTCTGACATCTCCACAGCATCGCTCGGCACTGTCCAATAGGAAGAAAATGTGACCCACATAGGCACTTTTGCATTTGTCTAGTAGCCTCAGTAAAAAATGAAAAGAAACAGATAAAATAATAACAATATTATTATAAATAATTATTAACCTAACCAACCCTAATAATTAATGATTATAATAATAATGTTATTGTTATTATTATTTTGGTACTGGGGATTGAACCCAGGGATGCTCTATCACTGAACTGCATTCCCAGGCCTTATTTGTTTTTTCAGACTGAGTCTCCCTAAGTGGCTGTGGGTCTTGCTAAGTTGCTGAAACTGGTTTCAAATTTGCAATCCTCCTGCCTCAGCCTCCTAAATTGCTGGGATTACAGATGCAAGCCACCATGCCCAGCAAAACAGGCAAAATTGATGAGAATTATATATTTTATTTAATCCACTATATATCCAAAATTTTATTATTTTCACACGTGCCACGAGCCCTATTTCACCCAGAATGCAG